ACAAATCATTCTTTAAAGCTTTCAATGGCGCAGAGAGTAGAGAAAATGTATACGAATCTGAAAATGATATAGATGCAGATCTCTCTATTTTTGAATGCCCTGACCAGAATGTTGAACCGAGAGTTCAGCACCAGGTGCAATTGCCAGATACTGACCAAAACCCAATTCGGAGGTCTACTAGAATTAGAAAAACAAATACTAATCCAGATTTCCATTATTACTAACAATATTTACTATACTCTACTTTTGTGAAAACAGATTATATATTTGTACATAGAGATAATTAAAACTAATAAAAAAAAATTATAAAATGTGTACATTTAAAAACAGAATTTATAGAATTGTATTTAATTAACTTTTGATGTTGACTGATTTCCTTGTTTACGTGTCAGATGTTGTCTTTATTAAGGAGGGGAAAGATGTAGTAATTTGCATGTCAATGAACTTTAATAGATGTGTATACATAATTACAACTGCCCTGTATTTGACCATCTGGTTAGTTATGTAACTCTCTTTATATAAAGGCTGTACATTGACAATAAAGTTAGTCTGTATTGGTGATTGCTGCGTGTGTGCTTGTCTCTTTCTCTGGTCTGCAACCATGAAGTATTACAAGTTGCAATGGTTTATATTCAGTTCTGAGTTCACACCTATTCACCTGGCATTGGTTTGCTGTTAGAGGGCTTTGTTTTACTGGTAATGCCATAACCTTGATCACATATGTTTCATGGAACTGTAGGACTAAACTAACCCAGGTTAATGCCTAGTTATTCTGTAAACGCATGTTTTTCAACAGTGGGTTAAAATTAACTTTGGGTCGAACTTGTTGCATTTTGCTACATGTGTTTTTTTTGCAGGCTGTGCTCTAATACCTGCTAAGATTAAAACTAATCCCATTTGTTTGCATTTTGGTTTGACCCAGTTACATTCACTCACAAGAGATAAACTGCTAGGAATATGCAAATCTCCAGTTCTTTTAACTTAATTTCTCAGTACAGTAACCAGTCTCATCTCTAGTTCATTTTTTCCTTGAACAAAGTCCTACTTGCATTTATTATCATGCTGGAAATGCCATGACAAAATTAAGTCATGAATATAAATTTAAATTATTTTGTAAATAGATGTTTAGCTGTCATTGGTCATCCTGGAGAGGACTTAGGCCGAGCTCACCGTTATGCACACTTCATTAGCCTGTACTATGATTCTTGATCTGGTCTTAAAAACATATATTAGCTTGTACTGTCTATTTCCTAGCCCATACTACATGTAAGTGTTCGCACATGTTTCTTAGTACAAGCTAATGTTTTTTTACTTCATAGCCTGTGCTACGGAGCTGTACGTAAACTCTTATTACAAAAGGAGTGTTGCCTTTGTTGTGGTCCAGAAAGGGGTGTATATGGTGAACTTTATGGTGAAAAACAGATAAATTACGCACTATGAAAATAACGCAATCAAATTCATGATGTGGTACAAATGTTTCACACATCATATACTTTGCTATACTTTGATTTTTAAGCACAGGTACTGTTTGTTTACCACATGTTATGAACAGTTACAATATGATGGAATGTATACCAAAACTTCATCACATTTTTGACAATTTGCCTGCAGCCCCTATTTGATTCACCTCCATGCAATAATCTAATGTTCAGCTGAGTATATCAAGTTAATGTCATGCAAACTAGTTGAAACTCAAGTGTGTGTCAAATTATCTGTAACATTCTGTATAATGGATGATTGATTAAACATTTTGTTTATTATTTTATAGCCATGAGTATTCTTGGTGTTAAAAGTTATGATGAATACCCAAGTGGTGCAGAATCAGACAAAATTGCACAAGATACGTTTGTCAGGGAGGCGTAAGTAAAACAATTTTATTTAAAAGTTTGAAAAGTTTTGTCATTTTATATAAAATATTAGGTCACCTGCCTTTCACAAATAGCAATACACTACATGTGTGATAGAAAGTGTTCTCATGTGAAATCCCTTTCAGGGTCAACTTCGAATAGTTTCGGACACAGAAACTGATCGAACATACTAAGTATATTCGAAATAATAAGTTATAATATAAATATAGAGATTTTCAATCTATGCCGATTTTTGAAATCTGGCACAATTTTGGATATTCTTGCAGCAGAATCCTGGTACTGTCATTACTGTGGTGGTGCTGATTCACAGACAATCATTTGGTTAATAATAACATTGTTGAGTAACTGCTCTCGTTCAGTACCTCAAGGAAATGCCATATGTTCAGGTGGTATACTGCAATAAATGTTTGCATTGACAGTTTTTGAGGGGTCAGTTGTCCCAGAGGGTAGTTTTGGGGGTGTACGGCATCAGTTATCCTACATGGTAGTTGTCTGGGCGGGTGGGTGTGGCATTTGTCTTGTTACCGGGCAATACAAATATGAATAATGTATTGTAAGGCTATTGTAAGAAAGAGTGGAGATCTATTTTGCTTGGTGGCTTATATTTTGCTTGTTTTATTTACAGGAAGCATGGACTAAAGAAATCCTCTTCTACTTTCAAACAAGTGCCATAGATGTCATTCGTCCTCCATCTCCATTCCCAACTCAGTGACTAAGTGATGGCTAGCTGCTTTTCATTAGTTAACACCTTTAATTTAATGCACTACATGTAGTATGATATAATATGCAAGTTGTCAACCTTGTAGACTCAAACATGTTTGATCCAACACAATTCCACCACCTGTACCTGCATTCATCCGATTACCCCACCCATCATCAAAACATTTCAGTTCATTGTTCATTTCTTAAAATAACAAACACTGATTTTATGTATTAATATGTATACATAAACAAATTACCTAAGCTCCAGGTTTATCCTTGCTGAGATAAAAGGTGTCTAGCTATTTCCTGTTATTTTTAAAAGCTAAAATTGTAAATTATTGTTCAGTAGACTAGCATTCATTCGTTTATATGTACATTGATATTACTGTATAATGTGTCAGTTTATGTGTGTAAATAAAATCTTTTTGCAGAAAATATTTTGTTTGTGTCTGGAATGATTTTGTTGAAAGTTTGTACAAAGACGAATTATAATGGGCTTTTCGTTTGATTGACTTTCGACAGGCTGGTGACCAGTTTTGTCATCAACCATTTCTCAGACATGCCTTGGCAAATGTCACTCAAATTTTGTATCAACATTACTCGTGGTGGGTTTCTGATGCACGTAATTTTCTCCGATACACAAATTTTATTAACTTGTCTGTATAATTGTAGATGAAAGGCAAGGTACAAGGATATAGACAAGTTAAAAAGGTCTGTCCTCATTATTGTTGTAGTTGTTGACTTTCTTTACAATATATCGAACAAAGTTCAATTTTGGTGTAACTAGCAAGTGCAATTTTCAAGGTATCTGGTAAAATTTTACTGAAATAAAATATTTTTAGATGTATAAATAAGTGGACACAATGAAGACATTTATACTGCTGATAATGCTCTCCAAGATCTGTCAATTAAATAAGTGTAGTAAACTGATATGTTAAGAGTATAAATAAAAAATTGACAAATGCAGTTCACCACATTTTTAAATCTGGCTTGTGTTACTGCACTATTATTTGGGAACTTTTTTACAATTTTTGTTGTATGTTATTATATAAGGCACTTTGAGATTAATTCAGTACATCTAGTATTTAGGAACACAAATTTTGCTTAGTTATTTTTGTTTGTGTATGTACGGTCTATCTGATCATTTATAAGGGATGTTTTGTTTCTTCCACCCTCAGACTAGTTATACGAGTTTCACCTAACACCATGGATGTGTTAAAGTGTGGTGGTCATTGTGCAGCGCATGTTCGAATTTCATGTAAATAAACAATGCATTTTAGATGCGTTGTATACGTCGCTATGAGTCCCATATCGAACAGGACGCGGCACGACTGTCTCCCTTCAATTTCACGTATAAGAAACAGAGAATTACAACATAAAGGATGTATTATCTTTACATCATGGATCATGGAATACTGACATGAAATATATAAGGACATAGAGTGAGAATATGAAAGGTGTATTATCCTTGCATATAAGGGACATAAGTGCTAACATTAAATATATATAAAACATAGAGTGAAAACACTGTTACAGGGTCTGGCTACAGAGTGATCTACAATGTATATACCTGGGGTCCTCCAGCCAAATTGCAAAAAAGTAGTCAACAGAGTTATTCATCAAAACTATTTTCATGTTGTCATGCATGTATGCTCGCTGGAGATGTTCAATCAGATTTCAGATCAATATTTGGGAATACATGTATATAGTTTCAAATTTGAACAGAACTCCTCCTAGACTGATGTCGCTCGATGATGACCTTCCCACTTCTTTGATTTTTCAGTCATGACTATTTTTTTCAATTTTATGATAATTTTCACTCTGTCCATGTTTCAATTTATGACACCCCAGTCAGCCACTGGTATTCTGAGATGACATCACTCCTAAAGCCTCTGTCCATGTCTCAATTTATGACACCCCAGTCAGCCACTGGTATTCTGAGATGACATCACTCCTAAAGCCTCTGTCCATGTCTCAATTTATGACACCCCAGTCAGCCACTGGTATTCTGAGATGACATCACTCCTAAAGCCTCTGTCCATGTCTCAATTTATGACACCCCAGTCAGCCACTGGTATTCTGAGATGACATCACTCCTAAAGCCTCTGTCCATGTCTCAATTTATGACACCCCAGTCAGCCACTGGTATTCTGAGATGACATCACTCCTAAAGCACATTAGGTTATCCTCAGATAAAATAACAGTTTTGGTTAACCAGACTAGCTGCACCCAAACCCTCCAAGCGATATGTCATCAAATATTAGTTGGATACACCTGGCATATAACAATATATATTCAATGTGAAAAGTACGTAATATACAGAGATTCGCGAAAATAGTAACTGATCAATACAGTGATGAACACGCTAAACAAAGAATCGACTCCTTACATGATGCTATTCCATTATCGGGATTTGTTTACACTTGTTTGAACCTATTTATAGTAACACGTGCAACAGTAAAATATCCGACTGAAGCCAGTTTACAACGACTAACTCGACACCTTGGCTAAATACCCAGGTATGTCAATGACGTCACTCCTGTCAAAATTATATAATGTTGTCCAATTCAGTTCAAAGTTCACCAGCTTCTCTGATATGCAAGGCTATGTTATCAGGCTTTAAATTTGGGTGTGAAATGTAAAATACTATGTTTGCCTATTATGATTGTATTTAGTTATTCTTATTATGCTTGCCATATTAGGTTAGGTTAGTCATTTTCTTATTAGCCAGTGTCTTTTGTATGTAGTTTGTTTGTATTAGATTTCTTGTCCTGAATTTTATTGTTCTTGCTATGTATAACCAATTTAATTGCTTGCGAGGAATTTTACGTGTGTCAATAAACCACTCATGTGTTATTATTATAGTTAGAAGTGTTATGTTACACAACTGTTTACTGTTAATAGCCACGGTAGCATAACTGACAGTCATATGTGATATTGCTATAAACATCATTACATGATGCACGTAGTACTAGTATATTGACATTGAAATTAAAGCTAAAATCCTGTAAGATAAGAAGGCCACTCACTATTGATTTATTTATCATGTTGTTGACAGTTTGTTCATGTTATTTCGATATATTACATGTAAATAACAAGTTTGTAAGTTTATTTCCGTTGTGACCCATGGAACTCGGTAGAGGGACTGTCCTGGCTGTCGAACTTTTACCACGCATTTCTAAGATTTCACAATTCCTAATTAATAATCCATGGGTGTGAAATAAAATGTATGAGTGCCCACATTCCATTTATCACTATATAGAGGGACTGTGGAGTGCCCCAACACTTTCGAGGTATTCTTTTCCACTTAATTTCGTAACATGACTTGTTTCACGCATAATGTGGACTAAAGTCCAAAATATATTATACTGCTCTAAACATTACAGTGCAGTATATACTAATAAAGTTTAATCGATTCCAAAAATCCATCGAAACGTTTCGTTCTCACTCCTACTACTAGTACTAGTATTTCATTGGTTTGTTCGATGGTTGCTATAGACAGATAACTATTTTGTACGTTTACTTCTTCTATTTCCTGTCGGGGGTTTCCCTATTGCTACCCCCTCAGGGGTCACGGAAAACCAAAATGCCAGTGATTTATTGCAGTTCGTGGCACGGTGGTTTCGGTTAACGCTTGCTGGGAAATTAAACTAAATCCAGTGTAAGAGAGAATAGGGTGCATGATTCAGGTGAAACAAGTGTACAGACTCCTGGTTTTGAAAATCTGGCGAGTACCAACTCATCTCATTGCTGTGTGTGGCTCCGGGGTGTGGCTGAGTGATACATCTCTATCACAATATAGTCATAAATATATATATATATATATATATCTTTAGGTTTAAGTCTTAGAGATAGAAATAATATAAGAGTAACAGTGTTTTTTAGCAACATGGAATTATTATGACCATAAATACTTTTCTTCACCAGCAGAAAATGCAATAATAATCAAAATAGCATAATTCAACCGAAAATCACTATATAACTACGTATTACTATCTCTGTAACAACTCGGGGATAATATTATTTCCTTTGCTGGGGCCAATCAGAAATTATATTATCTCCATTGTTGTTTATCTCCCTTGTACAAATAAAGTGAGAAATGAAAATATTACTCATATCCTGAACTCGTAACCCGGACTTTTCGAGAATAATTATTCCCAAACCAGTCACGATCGTGTTGATGCGTTTCTAATTACAATTGAACACATCATTATACCTAACCAAGAAACAGGAACGCGGGAGCATTTACTTGATAATAAATCCAGGCTATCTTTGATCCTCTTGGTATTGTAAAGCAATGGTTATATTATTCTAAAGATACGCGGCCTATATTGTCAGTATTACTTTTACCACAGGTTCCTATTGAGAAGATATTATTTCATATCTCAAACTGACTGATAGGGTAACGGTAGTTTAATATTATGTTCTATGAAACTAAAAATGGCGATTTTTTAATAATATTTTCTCTAACACTATAATGCTCGACAGAATGTTTATGACTACTGTCCCACTAACACAATTTATTACATAACTATATATAACATTCAGGGGACAGTGTTTAGATTTTACTGAAACACACAACCTTTCAGGAAGTTACGTAAAATACTAATCTAGACGAAAACATATGACACAATAGCCGAGGTCTCAACTGGATACACATATAAAGTAGAACAAACAAAGACTAGATGTGGTATGATAAATATTGCCAGTGCATATATTTTCGTTAAAAATATGAATTTACCATTCGCCGAACAATTTTAAAACGTGTACGGTAAAACTTCAAAAAGTGTTAAAGTTGAAATATTTTGCAGTGATTTACAAAAACGAAATTACCCCCCCCCCCGCTCGAATCCGATTCTGTCAGTGATATTATTCTTTGAGAACAATTTAATTCTAAGATGTTAACCATTTCTTAGATAATGTCTTCACAATTCAAATCAAAATGTAACGGTTTTCCCGATTCCCATTTCTCCTTCTGCAGACATGTTTGTCCGGTTTTGCGCCTGCGTAGGAGGCTGCACCCTTTTCCCCCTAGATTGTCACGTGACCCCGTATACTAAACCAGAAGTAAATATGGCGCTGGCAAACCATCATACTAACTCGCTGAGTATGTCTGATCATCTGAGATTAAACAGCGATCACCCCCATCTGGTCAACTACATGCCAGACATGATTGAAGATGAGGTAATATTGCACATTTATCTGTCAGTTTTATATCGCTTTTAACCAAACGAAGATGTACAAGGGGTACGATTTCGTTGTCTCGTATTGAACTGTGCGTCGTCGCCAACGACCCGGCCAGTGGCTGTCAGTGCTTGCATATCAAGTGCAGTCTGGCATCGTCTTAATTCTATTGCTCAGTCTGGCTAGTCTGTCGGGAACTGTATTTAATCATGCATTCTGTGCGTGTTTCAGTCGACTCTAGACAAATAAAT